AAGTTCCAGGATTGTTTTAAATTTCCGACACGTGAGGACCTAGTACGCACGATAGTCCACAACACAGAGGTGAACATGTTCGGAATATTTGGAATTCCTAACAAGTTAACATATGAATACGTTTTTTGTGGAATTTGTGGACATGTTGGAATTTCAACATGGCTTTGATGACTACATACATATTGCAAGTCAGCGCAGGAATGTTTTGGATTTACGGGAAACTTCGGTTGATGACTCGAACAAATGAACCCAGCAGTTGGTGGAAGATCCGGTGGACGTAGTACCTGGTCAGCCCGGGCGTGGGCTGGGGAGTGCCATACATTTACGTATAGTCTCACACCACCCCGCAGCTTCCTTTTGCAAGGAATGGTTCCTGGAGGTCGGGGCACTCGCAGTTTGCGAAAACATCGGCTGCGGTCGAATTTATTGCAAATTCCCGAAGCCTGAAATGCAAAAGCATCGAGCCTGAAATGCGAAAACATCCGCAACTTCCCCCAAAATCTAAATAAACTGTGGCCCCGCAATCCTCATAGATGCCAGGATGTCAGGATTTGGGAGAAGTTTGATCCCAGCCGATGTTTTCGCCTTTCAGGCTTAAGGAATTTGAGCCTAACAGCATTGTGGCAGTCTCAGATGCGACCGATATTTTTGCATCTCAGGCTTTAGGAATTGTGGGTATTTAATCCTGGCGGCATTTTGTCAACTTCAGATGCGAACACATCGGCAGTTTCGAAGATCAGCAACAATTTCAAAAGCAACTACGGCCCGCACTCCTCGTAGATGCCAGGATTTCGAGAATTTGGGTGACATTTGACCCTTGCTGATGTTTTCGCATCTCTGGCTTTAGGAATTTGGCGGATACTGTAGTAGCAGAACAGCTGTACCATGTACTGTACCATTGAAATGTGCCTGCGTTTGTGGATGCTTCAGACCACTTTGTGCAGACACAAAAGATTCGTTGAACTTTCTATCTTACATAGAGTCTGTAGAGCTCTTGTTTTTTCACTGAGGAAAGGTCTTGCTAAAAATACACAAGCCCACCCGTTGCTTGAACATTAGATAACGAACTTCTCCTATTTTATACTCATAAATAATTGTTATTATACCTCTGATTATGAAGCGACAGTGCTTTCTTCTTTGGTGTGGACGAAATCTTCTCAAATGTTGAGAGGATCTTAAATTTGTGAGCACGCAGATAAGCTGATAAGTTTCATGTTTCCGCATTGCATGAAAGATCCCAGTGCTGGCTTCTTTTGTGCTACATACATGAAAACTCAACTTCTTCCGTTACTAACGGTACCAACATCTCCTTCATCGAGCAAAGCATATGTGAAGTCGAGTTCAGCTATGCGCAAGACGTATACAGATTCCTTCATGATTTTCTTTCTAAAGCATAATAATGGGAAATTGAAGTGTTTCCGGCAGTTTCCGCCTCTGTGCTATGAGGCTATGAGGAGAAGAAAGGGTATTTCGTGTTTTGTTGAAGAATGGAAGGATCTTCATCACTCATTGCTAACACGAGGCCCCATTATGTTCTCAAGCAGGACTTCTTTTTGCATCGTATTGTGAGAAAACGCTAAGGTGCGTAAGAAATGAAGTTGTCTTAATTTCTCCGGAAGCAGGAAAGTGAATGGCGGTTGCTTCCACATCTGTTGTGAGGAGCACAAGCGCTATCTGTACTTGTTATTGAGAGATCGTTACTGGTGTTAGAATTCCTGCTGAGTTCTGGATTGAAATGATAGGATGAGAGGAGCCGCCATTATTATTCATGATGTAACATGTAAGAAGTTCGACAAACTTCAGAGTGCGGTCACGTGCGTTACCAACATAATGGGGCGAGTTTAAGCAATACGGGCGATACAGGCGTTTTTAAAATTTTACAGGGATGGGAAAGACAAAAACCCTGTTCAGTCACTGATGAAATGCGAGAGTTCTTGTATTCCGACTACTCACAAGAAAGAAGAACAGATCCAACGTTACTCTGTGATGAACGAAGATTTCTCCCTGAGAGAAGAGCCCTCCTGTTTCTTATTGAGAGAACGGCACCGCGTATCCACAGGCAGAGGAGCATTCTGGTATCGTCTCTATTTGGGCACTATGTGGCAAACAGAATCTATTTTGGGATTCTCGTGGTTTTCACGTGACACAAAGAGAAGAAATAAGTAGTAGCAAGTATAGGCTGTCGGGTGGAGAAGCCACCGAAAAGACCACCGTAAATACCGATGATTTCAACACCTGCCAGACAGACAGAAGACAGTGGAAGAACAGTCGGCAAGAAGGCTGGCACCAATCTTAAGGGGCGACCATATATCCATAAAGTATATGAGAATACACGAAGATTCTGTCTGTGTGTGTGTGTGCTTTAGCGCGCGATCACATGTAGTTTGGCTTCTCGAAACACAAGGCTCCTGATTCTGTGCGGGACTTTGCCGTGGCCGTCTCTTGCAGCTAGCTTGCTAGGTAGGATGTGAGCACCTGCGCCAAACTGCATGCCGTGCCGTGCGAGGCCCTCTGCAGCAGACTTTCTAGCACCACGCCCAGACAGGCAGTGGACACGCGCTTGTCCGGTCATGTGGGGAAAGTATAACAGCAGCCTAGAGAGCTCATATCACAGACGCCCCAAGCCGAGGTCGATGTCGCACAAAGGATAGTCCAGCGCACAATGCACACAGCAGACTCACAGAGACAAGGCCCCGCATGACGGATTCCCTTCATAGATGAAAGAAGACGCCCTGCAAGGGCTTTCGTAACGTGGCATAAGCTATTCTTGCAACTGTGCATCGCTGAGTTCGAAACAGATTTCGGTTCGGATAATGTGTGGATGCTCAAGCAGGGGATACATTCACAACTGTGCTGCCGAACTCGCAACGGCGTAAACATGTGAGCAGCATCTGCAGGGTGGATGCCCAAGCACAGGCAACTGGTTGGGCAACTCGTTTGCGTTGTCAGCATTCATGGTTTCAATATCGTTGTTCGAGGTGTCTCGGGATCTTGTCGACGCGGATGTGATGCAGGGGACCGCCATGAGCACCGTCCCCTCTCGCGAGTTTCCCCCCATCACTCACCGCAAAAGCGTCGTGACATGTCGCTGTCGTCGCTTCCATCGGACGCCCACACATTCAAAATCGTTCCGGCATTTGGTCCCATATGCGCCTGCACGTGCGCCGACACACCGTGTTTGATCGGCACGCGAGTGCGTTCTGGATCACCTGGCTTCTTGGTAGTCAATGCATGCATTGCATGGCATTAGGGCGCACGCTGTGCCGAGTGCATGGGTCTACTCTTCGCGAAGTGATGCTGCCCTACACCCAGAGTTATTCCTCCCAAGTGCCAGGGGTTCCGACCTGTCAGTGTTTCTGGCAGCACAAACTTTCTCATGGCATGGGCTTACGGTATGAACAGCAACGAGCAGGCGACACAGTCCGGGTGCGTAGGCAGGCGTTCTGCGACAGGTTGTACGCATGGGCAAACAGTGGATACGATGTCGTAAATTCTCAGATAGCTCCTCGAGAAGTTGCAGGATTGAGTCGCATAAGCTGGCCGTCAGTCTGCGCACAGCCGAAAACGTCAGGATGCTTGAAGCGACCTTTGGGAACGACGTGGCGATTTGCGAGAACTTCGCGTCTTGGCTCTGAATCTAGACAGTCCAATTGCTTCCGTACTGCGCGGACCGAGGATTACCGAGAGTGTGTGGAGGGTATCTTCCATCAGAACATGCACCTTGGTTCGACCAGCCAAGCTTGTGGAGTGCAGTGTTTGCAGGAGTTTCTCATCGCAGCGCGTGAAGCCTGCCTTTGAACTCCCAGGACTGAGTCTGTCAAGAAATGCTGCGAACGTCCTGTGAAGCAAGCGTGGCAAAAGATGAGGCGCTTCTGCAAACAGTCACACTGTACGATGCTGCGCCTATGCGAAACCCGATCCCAAAGCTCCCGTCGACATCAGTCACTGCGTCGGCACGCCATGCCCAAACTCCAATGTAGCAGAGCTGTAAGGGCGAGGTCAAATCTCAAGATATATCGAAGACCTAAGACGTCGCATGACATCAAAACGGTTGATCCTGCGCCTCCGGGTTTGTGGACGTAGTCGACCCTTGTCGCATTCTCTTGACAGCAATTCTGCAGTGCTCGGACAGGCGGGAGATGCCATGGTGGGGCTGGCCACTCCTGGCCATCGGCTTCTCAGCAGCGGCAGTGTGGTGTCCCGTAAACCTTCGAGTCAGTGGAACCCCCATGCGGCTCTCGTGGCCGAGGTGTGGTGGTTGTCATCACATGCTGCGCCACTTGCTTGGTGCGCATGGGCTGTGCCGCTTGGGCAGAACTTGTTCCCACTCATCCTTACCTGCTGGGCTCTCACGCCAACACCAGAGAGAACCCAGGAGCTGCTGTGCAAGATACTTTGCTGTCCTTGCCGGAGTTTCTGCCGCTGAGCCTTGGCCAGTCTCAGGGGCGGCAGGGGACTCTGCCAGCGGTCGCGTCACAACTTGCGTCACGGCAGTAAGGCCTCTGCGGCAGCTCCAAATGATTGCGTAGATCGCCGTGATCGCCGAAGACTTCAGTCCGGAGTCGCGAGCCTCAGCTCGTCATCATGTGTGTATTAGGGAAGCTTGCCGATCTTCTGAGTCACTTCCGAGTCTGCAAAAGCATGAAATAGCAGCCTTGTCATGCACTTTAGCGGCACCTTTGAAACAGCGAGCGTCCAAGGACTTTTGGTTGGCACTTCCAGTGACGACCTTTTGCCAGGAGCAGACTGCACAGATCCTCTGCATGGAGCTGCTTCTGTTTATTCTGCTTGGCATGCTGACTTGCAACAGACAAGCCGGGCCTTGCGTCAATTGTACAGCGGAAGACAAATGCATGGCATTTAAAGATGCCTTGTCTCGTACAGCAATTCAAGCGCATCCATACTGCATGCAGGGCGCATGTTATGTAAAGCTAAAACGGTTTGCGCGCAGCAGAGAGCAATATGGAGATGAAGCATGTTGCATGCAGAGCCTTTCCGAGGCTGAAGCAGCTAATGCCGAAGCCAGTGGGACGCGGGCCGAAGTCATCAAGGCCTACTCTGTGCCTCCGCGGCGTGGGCATGTCCAAGTAGGGTCTCGTCCTGCCCCCTCCTTCAGGAGGGTCTTCAGCAGGCACGGCATGCTTTGAGCCGGGCGGAGCAGGTGCGGGGCTTTGCTGTGCGCGGCCGTTCTTGGGCATCCCGTGTGTTCCAGCGCTGCAGCAGGAGGCGGCCCAAGTGTCCGAGGAAGCTCAGGAGGCACTGCGAACCCTGGAGGCAAGGGCACTGCTCACAATGGTCCCGCCTCTCTTTCCATACGCCTGACCTTGACGATCCGATCACTTCTCACTGCTTACCTCTTGCCTGGCCACGCTCAGACTCTCTGTGCGGAGAGGACGCGCATGAAAGGCAGGAGATGCTGGGGGGGGAGCATGCCGGCGGCTGACACCTATACTGGCACGTACTCGCAGCCAGTGGCATGGAGGCGAGACCGGCCCGGAGGCTGCGAAGCGCCGCGTGCAGCTCACAGAGGCCCCGGTCTTGGGAGAGCCACAAGCTGCAAAATCTGCACAAGCTACAAAGTTGTAATTGAAGCGACCCGAGGCGCTGACCAAAGAGGAGGACCAGCTCTCAGCCGAACAGGAGCAGTTGAAGGCCAAAACGGGCGTCCGAATTGCGACTCAGATGTGGGCACTGCAAACCGAGACGCAAACAACTGCAGGTGCAATCCAAGTCAGCAGAAGAGAAGCTCGACTGGTTAAGGCAGGTGCACACCAGCATGCACTCTTACAGAAATCTCCGCGGCTGCAGGCACTTGCGTGATGTTCAGGAGCCTGGAGTCTCAGAGAAGGTCCCAGTCTGCCACAGGGGAAGTCTGAAGAGCATTTACGAGCCATCGAGCGCCTGGGCGACCTTGCCCGAGGTATGCTCGCTCCGCCGCTAAGGAGTCAGCCAACAACTTTCGAGGCTGCGCGTTGGAGTCAGCGAATTTTAAGGCATGCCATGCTGCATTGCTTAGTAGCACATCGCCGCCTGCTTCTGCATCGATGCAAATGCTTAAATGGCTGCCAGTTGCATACACCGACATTGCCAAGTCCTCTCGCTCTTCCACTGCACGGGACCAAGTGAAACGATCTCAACGACGACTCCGGCTCCCAGCAAGGGACTGTTTCATACACGAAGCTGTTGACAAGGGGATTCTCAAATTTTGGACCACTCGGTTTTTGCAAGGCACGGCCAGCGGCGGGGACTTCTCCAGCACCTGAGGCAGCGAACAGGTCGGCGCGCAGGCACAGCAGAGAGCGACGGGGGCGAGAGACATCGACAGACGGCTGATGTCCAGAAGTTTTTGGAAGAGCCAAGCCACCCAGCTACTCATCACCAGGCTTTCGCGGCATTTAGATGATTTCTTGCGCTTCATGGCAGAGGCATGCTTACCTATATTGCCTTAGCTGAACCTGGAAAGCTACTCAGCTACTCTTGTTCTGAAGGTCGTTGCCGTGGGTGAAGCCCACGAAGAGACATCGCAGTGCAACGCTCGGGGAGTTTCAGAGCGAACGTGCCGTGCTACAAGGTTTTGTTAAGTTGCATCAGGGACGTCTTGGGCTGCAAGGTTGCCACTGCAGATGGTGAACCTGAACTTGCCAGCTGTGCTGAAGGAGGCTACTCTTAGTTTGGGATCATTCGGATGACCGCGGCTTGCCTCTAGCGTTTGCACACCAGGCCTACATGGGAAAGTTCGTCCAAAGTGACGATGGGATGAGGTGCCATCGGTGGGCTGAGCTTCAGTGTTTGAGTCGCAAGCTGTCTGCAAGAACTCCTGAGAAGTAAAGAGATTCACGGTGCCAGTCAAGCACAGCAGCTGGACAGCTCCAAAGAGAAGCTGAAGGCCCTTGTCCCGGAACAGGAGGTCAGTGCACTGATTCTCGCTGCAACAATTGTATCTGCTAGGTCCTGAAGCGTGAGCTGAACGATGCTGGCCTGGGCCGCCATGCGGTTTGAGAAGTGCGCAGTGCACTCCAGATCCCTGTCGAGGCCATCAGAACGAGACGCAGAGTCCGGGACGCAGGGCACTGTTCGAGAAAACACACAGCCAGCTTCTGCAGAAGTTTGATGCTCCATCGCTTGCGATATCCCAAAGGTCTAACAAAGGACTTGGCGGAGCTTCGAAGGCAGATCGCCGAAGGCACGATCGAAGCGATTTGCTTGGCTTCTCAGAAACGGAAGTCTGCGTATGATGGACCACTCGACAGATCGTGACACTCGGAGTGCACTAGTCCAGAGCTGCCAGGCGAGGCAAAGAGCCGCGAGGACCGGCAGCGATGCGAGGAGGCAAGTCGGTGACACTTGGATGATAGCCAGTGGAGCCTTGCAATGCCTTGCATCGTATCGCTTCACACTGTGTCAGGCCCAGCAGCACCTGCGAGAAGGCTTCAAGAAGGCCGGCTACCGCCGCAACGAGGCCCATCGCCAGAGATCTAGGTGTCTTCCGTTCGAGCGTTCGGAGCCCAGTTCATTGCCACGCCATTGCCATTGTGCTCCAGCGAAGGTCTCTGTACACAGTTCTGCCCACATGGGCAAGCGAACCGACTTTAGCTTCAAAACGGGGACCGAAACTGATCCAAAATAGAGCTCCGAGAAATGCTAATGCAACAGTAACAGGCATTCCACTGAGACTGACGTTTGCAAACGTAGGCTCCAGTCAACATTCACTCTACGCAGTAATTTGAGACTGTCCATCCGGCACTTCTGCAGCACGCGGGAGCGAAACAAGGCCACCTGGCACCAATACAGTGATGTCTCTCTGTCTCTGTGTGTGTGTGTGTGCGTGTGTGTTTGTTTGTTTGGGGCACGCGTTGGAATCTGTATTGCTTGCCCGCGAGGCCTTTGGCCTTTGTGTCTTACGACAGATCCCATTTTGCCGCGCACGCAATGAGGCGGATGGGCACTTCTACCTGGGCATGCAGTCTGCCTGTGGTGGAAGGCTTCCTAACTCCGTCTGTTGGGTCGACTTCTGTCGGTTGAAAGTCGTTTGCCGATCTAGCCGCCCCATATTTCACTGTTCTTGGCAGGTCATGGCAAGAGGCAACGGCAGTCCAGGAAGCTGCGCCAACTTGAGGTGCAGAAGCCTCAAATGTGGCTGCCTCGGTATTTTGCAGGATGCAAGTTCTATTCCGCGACGAATGCCGGTACTCTATAGTAACTGCAGTGCTAGGAAGTGAAGTTTTTGATGTCATGCTGAACCGCATGTGAGCTTTACAATCGGTAGCCGGCTTGGGCCCAAAACAGAGAGCTCTTTCCAAGTTTGGTAGCGGAGCCTCGGCTCCTGCATAAATCCAAGCTAGCGGCTACCTGCGAGCCATAGGCTCCCGCGCGGCCAAGGGCTGCGCCTTACTTTTCGCTTTCTTCGACACGATCCTGACCTTTGGGTACATCGTGATCTGGCTGTCTCAGTGGAACACGGACATCGCAGTGTCCAACAGCCAGCGAAATTCGGAGGCACCCCCATTTGAAAAGGGTTTGCCGTACGACACCACGCACTACGAGCACCACGAACGCTTCCACCCGATCCGGAACAACGTGCAGGTTCCGGATATCTTCCTGGGTGTCTTTCTCCGCATCTTGGTGGCGTTTTCCTTCTTTCTCGGCGAACACAGCAGTGTGCCCCTCTTTGAAGTTCTGAAGAACCTGGATTTAGAAGTTGGAGTTTGTGGCTTGTGGAGCGAGGAGAAGAACAACAGCGGCGTCTACTGCGAGAACACCTTCATCGAGGACTTCGTGAACAGCGGCGTCTACGACGAGCACACCTTCAACAAGGACTTTGGAAACAGCGGCGTCTACTACGAGAACACCTTCGGCAAGGACTTCGGAAACAGCAGCGTTGTTGGCGACAGCGCCTTCGGCAACTACTTGGTGGACAACGACCTCTACCACGAGTACGTCTACCTCGAGGACTTAGAGATCAGCGGCGGCTACTACCAGATCGCCCTCTTCGAGGACTTCCCGGACAACGGTCTCTACTACAAGAATAGCACAAAGATCACTCGCGGCACCACAGGAACGATGACTTCCACCAGTGGTCCCAGCGGAGGAGGAATACCTCTTCACGAGTTCCGGAAGGACACTCCTCCCGGATGGGCACCGAACATCCCGGACTATCCCCTTCGGCTTTTCTTCGAACGTTTGAAGCTGTGGTACTCCATCTTTGATGGAGATGACACTTTGGTGGGCCCGCTCGTAGCGGGCCGGCTCCAAGGGAAGGCTCAGCGCTTGGGAATGCAACTGAGATTGGTTCGACCAGATGGTCAATACGACGTGGGCAGCGATGCCTTGCAAAGACTCTCCGTAGAGGAAGTTCGTGATCCACACAACCCGGCGGTGATCATACAACATGCCATTCCCAGTGGCGTTCAAGCGCTTTGCAATAGCCTCAAAGATGCCTTCGGGATGTCCGATCAAGAAATCGTCAGTCGGAGCATAGAAGACTTCTTTGAATTCAAGAGAGGGAAGCTTTCCTTCCAGGAATACGCGATCGAGCGGGACATCTGGCTGGAAGAGGCCACGACGAAGGCAGGCTTGGAGCTGAACGATGTGGCGAAGTTTTACCTGTTCTTCCGGGGAAGCGGTCTTCCACAGCGCTTCATCGAAGATGTCAAGCTGCAGTTGCAAGGGGACTTGAGACGGTACCAGGATGCTCGGACCATTGCTCTTCGCCTGGTCACGAAGAAGGACGACATTGGCGACTCCTTCTACGAAGAGAACGACTATGTCGAGCACGAGGACGACAGTTGGGACGGATCCTACTGGACCGATGACAGTTGGTCACGGGTTGAGGACTTGGAGGAGAACTATGATGATCCCTGGCAGGAGGCCTCTTACTACGAGGACGAGTATGATTGGTATGGTGATGAAGACAACGCAGAGTACTACGATGAATCCTCGGCCCCTGCAGATTCTCCTGATTCTTACGGCAATCCAGCTGTTTCGGGAGAACCTCAAGAAGCCTATCCTGTCAAAGGAAAAGGAAAAGGCTTCGGTTGCACCATTTGTGGCTCTCGGTGGCATTCTGCTGCCTCTTGTCCTGTCTCTGGAGGAAAATATGGCAAAGGCAAAGGCAAGGGCAAGGGCAAGGGCAAGTCGAAAGGCTACAGAAAAGGCAAAGGAAAGTTGTTTGGCAAGCGGTTGCCCTATGGCAAAGGAAAGAAGGGCTACTGGCGGCCTCCCAGCAAAGGCAAGGCCGGCTACTACGGCTACATGGACTACGACTACAGCTACGGGAAGACCCTTGCCAAGAGCTTTGGAGAGACCACAGCGATGGACAAGCAGCCGAAAGCACGCACCGTGCATTTCCAGCTGGACAGCCAAGACCCTCCGGTAATCAACCTGAACCGGTCACGACAGGCTGCAGCAGCAGACGAAGCAGCCGATGCTGAAGGCGAAGTTCCCTCCTCGTCGACAACGACTACTCGGAGGCTCGACCTTGCCTTTCCCGCCTTTCCCACGTCGGTTTACAGCGACCACTCCACGTACCACACTATCCGTGGAGAGAAACGGCGTGGCTTGTTGGTTGATCCCGGGGCTGCCAGTGGACTCGTAGGGAGTGAAACATTGCGGGACATTTTGGAGTCATGCGTGCCGGAGTCCCAGCTTTCCGAGATCAAGTGGCGACATGATCACGAGCACTCAGTCAGCGGTATAAACGGCACTCCGGAGGCCACTCTCGGAGAGGTCTCCATACCGCTGCAGCTGTCGGGAATCACGGCATCGTTCTCGGCAGATGTCTTGGGCGGCGAAGGCTCCATGTGCCCGGCTCTTCTGTCCAATCCCTCGCTTCGCAGACAGTCGGCCTCGATCCTGTGTGATTACTTTCACAATGGAGACGGCGTCATGGTGGTCAGCGACGGCGCCGAAGGATGGCACTACCTGCGCATTCTGCTCACCGACTCGGGTCACTACCTCCTTCCAGTTGATCACCGTGGTGATGTTGCCGAGGAGACCCAAAGCAAGATCTCTGCTCAGCTTTATACATGGTCTGGAGAGATCAGCAAGAAATGGGGCGATGTGCGCCACTGCTTTCTTCAGTCCAGGCTGAGCACTTCCAGTCGGGAACTTGAGCGGAGTGAAAAGGGAACCCTGACTCTCTCTACTACGATCGAGGCATCTACCACAACAGTCCAGAACCACGACAACCAAAACAAGACAGCGAAGACTTCATCCACCACGTCAGTCCAGAACAACGACAACCAAAACAAGACAGCGATGACTTCATCCACCACGTCAGTCCAGAACAACGACAACCAAAACAAGACAGCGATGACTTCATCCACCACGTCGGGTCAACGTGTCGAGAACTACTACAAGCCAGCGAAAGCGATAGCGACTACATCCGATGCTTACCAGAACGAAGATGTCAATTTAGACAAAACATCAGCTACCGCAACAGTCCAGAACGTCTACAACCAGAACAAGAAAGCGACTTCATCCACCACGTCTGGTCGTTTTTATGATGATGATGCCAAGCACATCTCTGGTCGTTTTCTTTGTGATGCCAAGCACATCTCTGGTCCCAGACGACCGTTTCTTGACAGTCCAGCAGTCGGTGATCGTCTAGTTCAGGACACCTGGCACATCGATGGGGAGTACTTGGTTAGGCGGCATGGCGTCCCACGACGAGCTCTGTTTACTCCTGCATGCGCTCTTGAGTGTCCGATTCCTCGAGAGCGTATCTCGTCGCAGCGAGTCACCAACATCAAGATTTTTTCTCGTCAAGGTGGTCCGCGTGTTCTTGAAGACGACTGGAAAAGATCATCGAGACCCTGCCAGGATTTGGAGTACCTTTGGACCGGATCGACTCGGTTCAAGATACTTCCGGAGACACCGGTCGCAGCTTTTTCGTCTACCTCCACAACGGCTGCGGACAACTTGGCGGAGATGGAGGTGCTGGACCCGGTGGCGTTTCCTTGCTACGGTGGCGACACCTTTCCCAGTCACTGGTCAGAGGAACAACGGGCCACAACTGCGAGACACTACAAGGCGATTCCTGAGGAGTTCTACACGAAGTCCGGTCGTCGTCCTATCACACCGGACAACATGGATGCCTGGCTTGCTGCGGTCAAACGGAGAAGGCTCAGGCTTCATGCCTGGGAATGGTTCAGCGGAAGTGGGCGTTTGTCTTTGTGCCTCCTCATGGCCAACATGATCGTCGGGCCACCCATTGACTACCGCTACGGCTGGGATGTTGCACATGCGCCACATCAAGCACTTCTTCAACGATGTCATGAAGTTCTCGCTCCTGCGCATCTCTTTGCATCTCCCAGCTGGTCGTCATGGATGACTGCAACGAATAAGGATCCTGAACTTCGTGAGCTAGACCGACGACCTGAACTTCCTGCAATACAATACTTGACAGAGACCTGTCTGATACAACGCCAGATGGACTGTGGTTTCACGGTGGAACAACCA